GATAGACCCAGGACTAATTTATATTATACCACTCTGTTGATAGACCCAGGACTAATTTATATTATACCACTGTGTTGATAGACCCAGGACTAATTTATATTATACCACAGTGTTGATAGACCTAGGACTAATTTATATTATACCACTGTGTTGATAGACCTAGGACTAATTTATATTATACCACTGTGTTGATAGACCCAGGACTAATTTATATTATACCAGTGTGATGATAGACCCAGGACTAATTTATATTATACCACTGTGTTGATAGACCCAGGACCAATTGATATTATACCAGTGTGTTGATTGACCCAGGACTAATTTATATTATACCACTGTGTTGATAGACCTAGGACTAATTTATATTATACCACTGTGTTGATAGACCTCGGACTAATTTATATTATACCACTGTGTTGATAGACCCAGGACTAATTTATATTATACCACTGTGATGATAGACCCAAAACTAATTTATACTATACCACTGTGTTGATAGACCCAGGACTAATTTATATTAGACCACTGTGTTGATAGACCCAGGACTAATTTATATTAGACCAGTGTGTTGATAGACCCAGGACTAATTTATATTATACCACTGTGTTGATAGACCCAGGACTAATTTATATTAGACCAGTGTGTTGATAGACCCAGGACTAATTTATATTAGACCAGTGTGATGATAGTCCCAGGATTAATTTATATTATACCAGTGTGATGATAGACCCAGGACTAATTTATATTATACCACTGTGTTGATAGACCTAGGACTAATTTATATTATACCACTGTGTTGATAGACCCAGGACTAATTTATATTATACCACTGTGTTGATAGACCTAGGACTAATTTATATTATACCACTGTGTTGATAGACCTAGGACTAATTTATATTATACCACTGTGTTGATAGACCTAGGACTAATTTATATTATACCATAGTGTTGATAGACCTAGGACTAATTTATGTTAGACCAGTGTGTTGATAGACCCAAAACTAATTTATACTATACCACTGTGTTGATAGACCCAGGACTAATATATATTAGACCACTGTGTTGATAGACCCAGGACTAATTTATATTAGACCAGTGTGTTGATAGATCCAGGAATAATCTATATTATACCACTGTGTTGATAGACCCAGGATTAATTTATATTAGACCAGTGTGTTGATAGACCCAGGACTAATCTATATTATACCACTGTGTTGATAGACCCAGGACTAATTTATATTAGACCAGTGTGATGATAGTCCCAGGATTAATTTATATTATACCAGTGTGATGATAGACCCAGGACTAATTTATATTATACCACTCTGTTGATAGACCCAGGACTAATTTATATTATACCACTGTGTTGATAGACCCAGGACTAATTTATATTATACCAC